TGTGTGTAAGGGGGAAAGCAGGCTACCAAAGTATGATTACAGCGGTTATGATGTATTTTTTAATGAAATCTATATGTCAAGTCCTTGTATCTTGAATAAGGTAAGAGTCTTCTGCAATGAAAACCCTCATTTGATTGTAATGGGTGCAGGTGATGTTAAATAACTTCCAAGCATAGAGCCCTTCACCAACAACCAAAATGGAGAGGAGTATGTTGACAATTGCATTGACATAATTTTCAAATACAATATTTTTTTGCAGATATGCAAAAGAGTAGGAGGTAAAGATACAGAAGAGGGAGAAAGGAATAAAAAAAAAGTTAAATGAAATCTATGGTGATTTTTGGGAAAAAAGATTTGGATTGGAAGTTGCGGATTGAAAATGATTTTAGATATACAAAGGATGTAATGACACGTAAGAATAACATAGCATACACTAACATAAGGTGCCAAGCAGTAGCAAATGAGGTAAGGAAGAGATTAAACAAAAAATATATATGAACTTGGGGGGATTTTAATATGCACAGTTTACAAAAAGGACGAAGAGGATATATAAATTGAATGTAAACAGATAAGGTGGAAGGTTGTAGAAGTGGAGGGTAGACATGTAACCATTCAAGACATCAAAAGCAAGGAGACACGAACCTTTGATGAAGATACCATAGACAAACATTTTAGGTATGCTTACTGTGCAACTTGTCACAGCAGACAAGGAACAACAATAAGAGACAACATAACAATTCACAAATGGAACAAAGACTATTTGGTGAGCAAAGAATGGGTATGGTGTGCTGTAACCAGAGCAACAGATTTCAACCATGTGTATTTTTCAAAAATGATAAAAGCCGGCGAAGATGTTTAAGAATTTGGTAGTTAACTATTTTAAAAACAAGGTTGAAGGTTACAAAGGACAAGACAAAAAGGGAGGAAGAGAAATAGTTGATGAGTACATTGATCAACATTGGTGTTTGAAGATGTTCAAGGGTTGTTGTGCAGACTGTGGGGTTAAATTGAATCTTGATACCAGGGGTGGCAAATTGTCACGTAACTTTACAGCACATAGAGTTGATAATGGGCTGTGCAATTCTATTGACAACTGCGAGGCTTATTGTTGCCACTGCAATTCTTCTTCACATTAGATTGTTATTTTGAAAATTTAATTTGTCAAAATAATAATCTTAATTATATTAATTTGAGTAAGCAAGAAATCATAGGAAACATATATTTCGATAAAGCAGGGTTTGGTTCCAAAAACACTACTTTGAAGGATGCAAGAGAGAAATATAAATCTATTACTATGAAAGATGTTGAATGATGTTTGGCAGCTGGAAACCAACATGGAACCCAACATGGAACCCAGCATGTGCCCCCATGGTACCTTTCTTATGGTGACCTCCCCCATACCCTGAAAGCAGGAAACCAACATGGAACCCAACATGGACCCCCATGGTACCTTTACCATCCCATACCCTGGAAGCTGGAAACCAACATGGAACCCAACCGATATAGATAAAACATATATAAGTTGAACCTTATCATGAAAGAACTTTATCATTCTTCCCCACCCATGTCTTCATTTTATTGGCAGAAGGCCTGGCACCCCCCAAACAAACTCAATAAAACAATTCCTTTTTACCTGGGGTGGGATGGGGAAACATATTTTGGAGCATGTTGCGCCACTCAGCCCTAATTTTTCTTAGGTCTAGTTGCATTTGGTGAATGTTTTCCCCAACATGCTTGGGTTGAACCTGGACTAGTTTTTTTTTACATACCATGGGCTCCAGGAACCCGAAAACTAACGTGGAACCAGAATGGACATTTCGTGGGGGGAGAGGGAACAGCAGAAAAAACAACAAGTTAAAAAACAAATCCGGGATTTGAATGGATTTAGGGATCCTACTCTTCCTTTACACTTGGTAGAGGAGAAAATGTGCCCGTACGCTCCTCCTGGTCAGGCTCTCCTCCACCAACCCGCTGTGTCCCCCGGGTGTGGTCGTCGAATCCACAACGGAAACCAACATGGAACCCAACGAGTTTAACTTGGGGGGCACCAGCTCCAGCAAATTCATCATAAAATTATAACGTTTGTGTTTCTTTTGCTCCTTGTTGCTCTTTCCATCTCTTTCTTAGTTTGCTGATATTTGTTATCCTTTCATGTCGTTTGTTCCCCACCTGCCAGGTGAGGGTTGTTAGATCTGTTAGATTCTATCAGAGCTGTTCTCCTCCTCCTCCTCCGCCTCCGCATCCTCCTCCTCCTCACCTCCTCCTCCGCCTCCTCCTCGCAGTCCAGATCCCAGTGGGCACAGCCGGACCTCCACCGCGAGCGCCAGATCCCAGTGGGCACTGCCGGACCTCAACCGCGACTTCCAGGTTGCAGTGGGCACTGCCGGACCTCAACCGCGACTTCCAGGTTGCAGTGGGCACTGCCGGACCTCGAACCGCGACTTCCAGATCGCAGTGGGCACTGCCGGACCTCAACCGCGACTTCCAGATCGCAGTGGGCACTGCCGGACCTCAACGGGAAGAAGAGCTGTCAGATAGAATGTCAGAAGATATGCCAGATAGAATGCCAGAAAGAATGTCAGAAAGAATGTCAGAAGATATGCCAGACAGAATGTCAGAAGATATGCCAGAAAGAATGTCAGAAGATATGTCAGATAGAATGTCAGTCGGAAGATATGCCAGATAGAATGCCAGAAAAAATGTCAGAAGATATGCCAGATAAAATGTCAGATAGAATGCCAGAAGATATGCCAGATAGAATGCCAGAAGATTTGCCAGATAGAAAGCCAGAAGATATGCCAGAACATATGCCAGAAGATATGCCAGATAGAATGCCAGATAGAATGCCAGAAGATATGTCAGATAGAATGCCAGAAGATTTGCCAGTAAGAAAATGTATAGTATACATGTGATGGTCGGGATCATTCGAATTGAAGTATTTCTTTTTTTATCTCTTCGCTGTCAGGTTTTCTGCCTCTTGTGGCTTGCTTTGCAAGGTTGCGCGACGAACACGGAACCCAACACATATCGAAAAATAGTCACGACCTTTTCTTGGGGGTGTTTTGGTTTCAGTTCTTTCCCCACTACAGACCTGGAACCTGAATAGTTTTTAAATGTGTTTAAAATGTGAGCGCAATACGAAGTGAAAAGTAGGGTCGCCCGAAAGTCACTAACATGGAATTTTCAAGGTGGACGCATTAAAAACCACTTGGGTTCCAATTTAACCTTCAAATCACCCTTCAAGGTTGCTTCAAATTCCATGTTGGCTGTTTTACTGTGCAGTTTGGGTTCAGTTTGGGCCTGCATTGGGTTCCATGTCAGTTTTTGAGTGATTTGATTGAAAAAAATAGTTGCATGATTTCCTGTGGAACAAAATCGACTTGAGACCGTACCATAGGTTCATGTTTGGAGACCTCAGGAATAGCATGCAGTTCTATGTTATTTTTGGGGGGTGTATATCAAATATGATCAATAGATTCACTTCAACAGATGTTATAGACTTAAACAACACCTTATAAACAAAATCATCCAAGATCAACATGGACATGGACTGATGCCGTTTCTTGCATTCCTAGCCACCTGAGGTCTCGTCGGTGGCAGCTCGTGCTGGCACTTTTCTCTCAGCAACAGCGCTCAGCAGCGTCCAGGGTCTCAAGACAGAATCTCAAATCTCAAAGATATCCGGGTTTCATGAATTTAATGATTAAATAACATTAATTATGATTCAATACTCACCCATGGACATCCAGTTTTGACATGCCAAAAGTCTTCCAGGCAGGCAAAATGAACCATAAAGGACATTTGCTGATTTTCATGTGGGAGAAAACTGGCCCTGGGAAACCCGACAAAGACGTGGATCGATTGTTTTTCGCTCGAAATGCTTTTCTTCGCAAAGATATCCATGGAAACCAAACGTAACCAATTTTCATACAGCACATAATCTCATGACATCTCATGCGTGTTTGCTATAAAGGTATATAAAGGTGTGTGCAGCATTGCGCTACACCCTTCCAGGCAGAACGCCAGCGCAAGCAAGAGATCCTTGTTTGCTGCTCATCGTGCGACCCCCGGCATGGGATAGCTGGGATCCGTTTCATACTGTTACTAAGTTACTACTGTTTCATTATCAGTGTGCCACCGTGGCTGGGTCACAAGATACGCCACTCAACATCACTCAACTAAATTCATCGAAATTCTTCATAATTAATTGCATCTCACCAACCTCCACAAACACACACAGATACGTGTTCCTGAGCTATGGGGTGCACTTGAGTCATTAACCCACAAAGCGTCAAGAGGAATATAGTCGAATTTACAGTAGGGAACCGTGCAATCAGATGATCTTTTGGCGGGCGATACTAAGAACTAGGGATAGAATCAGAATCCCTCAGTCTTAAACATGTGCGCAAACGATGCTTGAGCAGGGATTCTCCAGACATCAACCAACCAGAAGTAGCTCAGACAATTCTAGGTTCAACATGCAAAATGGCAGTCACAACAAGTGAAAGCAGGTGGTGTTTGGATGTGTTTGCAGTTTGGAAGGTTGGCGAAAACAGAAAGTGTATATATACACTTAGTGGATACTTAGCGACTAAGTGGTTTTTGCCGTTTCTTTTGGTGGATTTTAGCATTGCGCCCTCGCCTGCAAGAAGCAGGCTGTGAGGCCCACAGTATGGAGCACTCTTGCCGAAAACAGCATGCACCAAATGTTTGGAAATGGAGCGAGATATGCTTGAACACGACATGTCTTTTTGCTGAGATAAGTTTCTTACAAAAGAAGCAACTGTTTTGGAAAACGGTGTGTTGATGGCGGGCATGGCTCAATGTCTATCTTAAGAAGGTATAGGATGGTATAGGCACGTATATGTTCTTATACCCCAAACCAACTGCAGTGAGTAGCCAGGACAGCATTGCGGCCTGACATTGAATTCTTGTCCACGTAAATTGTGCCCAATATTTAATACGCCTACGAGAGTCAGTTAAAGGATTTGGTTGAGAGCGATGGCAGCAAGCTTCTCACGTAATGCAATGGCTGCAATGGCCTTCTGGTGCTTTGCAAGTTGCTTGGCTGGAGCAGGGTTGGCTTTTGCGCCAGCCGTAGGAACTCGTATGAGATCGACGGTTCCAACTGCGTTCCCTATGTTTGTTTTATTTGTGCTATTTGTATGGATTTGTGATATTTGTGCGATTTGGCGTTCCTAGTCTATTAATTCATTCAAACAGCGGCAGCACGTTCCATCGCTCACAAGAACGTACAACAGCATACAACAACAAGAACTCGAGTTGCGAACCATTGAGTAGGTGCACTGCAACATAAGCTTTGGAATTTGCGGCAACAGTCCGGCAATGCATGTGAGCTGTCAGTAGGCCTTGTAAATGGAGCTAAATATAAATATAAGCAACAAAAAATATTTTGTGTTATATGTATATGTATATAAATAATTATATATATTTATTATATATATATACATATATATTTATTATATATATACGTTAATTATACTATATATATAAAATTTACTATTATATATTTGTTAAATTTACTATATTTATATACATATATATATACAATTTTATTTTTAATACATATATGTATATGATCTGTATATGTATGATATTGTTATAAATTGTTTTACAGAGCCAAACCAAGCATGAGTACATACAGTAACACCTTCTGGCGATTATTTTTTTGCTTACTTTTGAGATCCAAGCATCTTCTCGGAGTGTATTTGGAGCAGTCAGAATATCTCGGAATGATTTGTCATGTCCGTGCAGATTTTCCTTAGGTG